AGTGTCTGTAACACATATATTAAAAAATTACTGTGTATTGTCATTCTTTAAGGCTCTCAGTAATTTCAATTATTATGAGTAAAATGGCTGAAAAGAACATTTATTTGGTTGGTTTTTCGTGTAGAAAATTATGTAAACGAAAATTACCGAGTATAAGAAAAGTTTTACAATTATTTTTCTACAAGCATACAGATTCTAAACTCACAATTCATTAGAGTATCTGTCGAAACTTCTAAGTTTGCAGAAGTTAAAAAAATACTATGTCGATTTGACGTTTTAAATTCTTCATTTAAATATTTAGACTGAGTTGATTAGATACATCAAACAAATTTTGAAGGCGATTTTTAAATGTATGCTCCGTAATTTTTTGTTTCTAAGTTTGTTTTTTTTTTAGATTTTTTTTAAGTTCCCACTCTCGATAAACTTTCATGATTTTAGTAAGCGTTATATGGTTGACAGACATAAATACCAGTAAGTTTCCAAACTTTCATAACATCATGAATCACTTCATCAACACACTGTCGGATTGAGAGGTTATAATCTGTATGCTTGTAGAAAAATAATTGTAAAACTTTTCTTATACTTGGTAATTTTCGTTTTCTATATGAAAAACCAACCAAATAAATTTTCTTTTCAGCCAGGACAAAAAATTTGCTGCCACCATTCGGTAACTGAAACAAGAACAGTATCATATCGTAATGTATCATGTTTTGACGTATAAATAAAATAAGTCTGATAATTATTGTGAATAAATAAAATTCGAAAATGCAGCGGCGCGGGCTTTTAGCATTTTATTCCGCCGAAAAAGCGCTGAGCGCTTTTGTCCTGTTGCCTGAGGCAAACTTTTAACGAAAATTAATGAAGGAAATCTTTTATGACGGCGTCTTTTTTTATCGAGTTTCGACATAATTCGAGGCGAAACCGGACGCTCCTAAATAATCGACTTTCTTTTTTTTTTTCAGCGATAAATAGAGAACCGACCGGCAATGCAATTAGTTAAAGTCGATCATGGTGGTTCCAAACTATTCCTTTTAAGAATTTAGTTGAACTGATTGACTTTCGAAATATTATACATTGAAGAATGTCTATATGTCTAAAATATTATATTTCTATAAAATGCCTAATATTTGCTTTATAACACAAATAATTAAAATATATACTATTATTTAGAGAACCAACCCCAAAAATTTAGTTGAAGATGTAAAAAAGGTTGGATGGAACTCATATGGCTGAGGATATTTAAATTGTATATAACACACACACTAGAAGGGAAACCCACAATAATTTGCTGTCAAAAGCGCCAGCGCCATAGCGGTGTCGCGTTTTAAAAGAGACGGTAAAGAAATCCGTTGTTTTTAAGTATGGCGCTGCCATCTATTAGAGAAAAGATAAATTAAAGGATATTTTCCTGCAATATTTTATGATTTCTGATAAGGAGAAATACAATAATTTTTCAACAACGTTTGCTAAACTATGTACAATAAATACGAATCCGTTTTAAATATGTTTTTTAAGCTACTGAACAAATTTTTAAAAAATGGTACGTATATATACACTTAGGTTTATTTAATATTATACATTTCTGATATGTGCGTTTTAAGACAAGTACATGCAACAAAAATACAGGCCGATTTCAAAGTAAGCGTAATCCTCGAATAAAAGCTCAACTAAAATTTCCTAATAACGAGTGTTCGGATACTTTTTGGGAGTTATTTTCGTCGGCAGATGACTGATGAATTTTCGCGACAAACACACCAGTTTCGTCAGAAATTTAAGGAACCACAAAATAATTATTGTTTACAATTAAGCAGTTAGTAAAAGTAGATGTAATTATTACTTTCGGATTTCAGCATACTTGGAAAACCTGTTTTCCATAAGGCCCTCTTGGTTCCTGCTAATTTATCATATTCCGTGAAATGGAAATCACATCCTTTATAAGACTTATATGTTTGTTCTTGCCCCTTGTTATTGAAATTGCCGTTATTGAACAGAGAAACATCGTTTATTGGAAACCTATATTACTTCCTGAATATATCAGGACCACGACACGTTTTCTATTAAGCCTCCATTGTAGTTTAAACACAAAGCTCGCAATAATCCAAAAACCACAAAGCATAAACAAAAAATATGAACCAAAAATTTCACGCAATTCAAACTGACTGGCTGAGCGCAATGTAATTTGAATCATACAAACCGCCACCTAGCGGTAGATGTCCGAAGAATATCCAGTCTGATTATCTGATTGTGTCTCCAAAATTAAACTTTTTGACAGACGTTTTTATTTTGAAAACTGATTTCAAAAATCTATGCATTTATTTGTATCACGCAAGGTTTATTTGCAAAAACTTTACTCAGACTTTTTTGAGTGAAATCTTCATCTTTTTGCTGCGTTGTCCGGATATTCGGATGTGTGTTTTTAAGGGCGCAACATCCAGAAATAGTCCTTGTTCTTCACTAACTGCTCCAAGATTTTTCAGGAAAATAGTTCAAGTGTGAAAACAGGAAATGCACTTTCAAACCCATATTAGAACCTACACGATGAAAGTGTTGTAACATATTTTGAACAATACTTTCGTAGTTTTCGTCCCTAGAGTTCCCAACTTATCGAAACACAGGCGTTTTTCTCGACATTGCTCATTGTGTTTTGAAAGTCCCTGTCTTTGCATAATGTTTTATCTGCGGCCGAACAAAAATACCTACTTTTACAAATATTTGAAACACTGAATACATTTTTGTCTAAGGCTTTAACAAACTGCTACATCAAGCCAAGTTTGATTTGAAGAGGAAGCAGTAATTTTTTTTTGGGTCAACGTAATTCATTTTTGCTACCAGGTATAAGGCTTGTTCTAGATTGCCATTCTATTTGAGTCCGGTGTCTATCTCTTGTCCGACTATCTCACTCACAAATAAACCATGGAAATTTTGTATAACCCCCTTGTTGTCCTACGAGCTTGCACAGAACTTTAAGGTCACTACAAAGCGTCCACCACATATTGATAGTTTTTTTTTTTCGAAAGAAATCCTAAATTTTCATACGTTTCTTTTAAATGTACCGAATGTACAACTACTACGCCTACTTGAGTCAATAAACAGGCGCCATGCTTCTTTTACATTGCCTTGCGCATTGCCTAATTTTAAAACTAAGTTAGGAATATTGTTGCAATACACCAGAGTTACTTCCTGGGTAAAATATTTACATAAATCTTTTTCGCGATCCCGGTATGATGTTTTCTAGTTCTTTTGGGGCGGTATACATGTGGTGTATGAGGAACGGGTCGATTAGTAAAGTCAAGATTGGGTTAGTAAAGTTAATAGTAAAGTCAAGATTGGGTTACACAATTTGTGTCTTAATGTTGCTGTTGAATCCTTAAACACTACACAAAAAAAAATAACAATCATCACTGTGATCTCTAGACTCTCACCATACCATAGTAATACCAAACCTTAAACATTTCTTCTTACCTAAAATAAGCGTGGTATACATTTTTCACAAGTTATAGTTTGCCTTTGCTTTACTACTTCATAACTACCATAGATATAAAAAAAGTTATTTGGATTGTTCAAGTTATCTTCTTTCTATATGTATATGTTCTAGAACACTATAAATACGCAACAACGAAGACAACAGCCGCGAATACACGACGACCAATACAACCAAACTCCGCATAAGCAGGTTACAACGCTGTATCGACGCTTCTGCGCCAACTCTGTTGCCTTGCAGAGGAATCTAATTTTATCCAGTGTTGCCAAATAACATTTAATTTCATAAAAATCAATTCATTTAAAGATCATGTCTAACATGGAACAAACATATTTATGTCATGTATAAATGTATAAATAAATATTTATGTAAATTAATAAAATAACATCTTTAGGATATAGAGCGCGATAAAAAAAATTGATAGAGCAAAAATATCGCGTTTTTTGGGAAAAAAGGCCCAAAAAATATACAAATCAACAAACAGCTTTTAAACATCAAAATCACTGCACAGCTGTGTTATTTTTTAGGGTTACCATACATTTTAGGTGGTAAGTGATTTTCATTTCATCATAGCGGGACATAAGAAATTAGTGGAATGATACAACTATAAGGAACTGCCAGTCGAAAAGGATAAGAACAGAGAATTATTTTACGAGCAAGTTGCAAGCGTTTTCTGTAATATTACGGACATTTCTAGTCTTAAATTAAAGTCAACATCTTAGTTCACAGAGTGTATTAACTGAGTACAAATTAAAAGAAACTCGTGGTTTCTTAGAAAACCAACAACCAACAAAAGTAATCACCTTTCAGGACTTTCATCTGAGATTTACTAGCTTCTGCTGTCTTTCTGCGTCTCTGGGACTCGTTTGTCAAGAATTCCTATTACAATTCTATCACGTATCATATATTTTGGATCTTTGTATTTCGTCATTTCGCCTACTTTACAGAGTTCTTTTCAAAAACCGTCAAAGTTTTGTCTCCGTTTTTCTTACTATTAAATTTAAATCGTTCAAATGTTACATGCGAATTAGGTGAGCAATGGGCGTCAAACTTGAATGGTTATGGTTTTCAACTTTTCCATTTTCGCCTTCTGCAATATTAAAACTGTTAAACAGTTCTGAGCCATCATTAGCTGTCAAGTTTAGAAAAACCTACATCTTTGCATAATGTATTGTATATAATATGGCATTTCTGCCAAAATTGCTTCCAATTCTCTGAAATGTCGCCCTTTGGGGAGAGCGGTTCTTGCAGTCGGAAAAATGCCTCCATTTTGTTGGAGCGCCAATGAGTTTTTCCTAGTTCTAAATATTACATTTTTAAATACTAAATAATGATGGTTTCCGATGCACTACAATTTTGTTTACTACATCACATAATGTCAGACGTTTACTGTCTAATGACGTCACCGCCATTTAGATATCTGCGAATAAAGGCTTAATTTTTATGTAAACTTTAGTACCCATGAAAGTAGTCATGTAAAAAATTTGTACAATCATTTTAATGTTTAATTTTCTTTTAGCCGGACACGATGAACGATCTAAGACGCTGGACTTCGGACGAAGCCTTCGGTGACGTCACCGTGGGACCCAGCTGCGTGAGTCGTATCACCAACGGCGCACTGAGCGACGGTGAAGCTACCGACGGCACCATCGTCTCGGACGACGAAGGGGTCGACCACAAACTGCCTTCTCCGGAGGAACAGCTCCAAGTAGTCGCGCTCAGGTACGGAAACAGCACATGGCGTAATTTTTTAATGCACTTATTTCTCGATACAAGTCTGAATTAAAACTTTAAAAACGTGTTTTGGCGCCATCTGGCTCATCTCGGAGCACTTACGTTACAGATTCCCGGCGGAAATAGTCGCGGTCGATGTTTCCGGTCGCAGTTTCGACCGGATGTCACTTCAACGCCGCTCGCTCATGAACGGCGAAATCGGCAATCGGACGACAGATGGCGACACGGTCAAACGAAAAGGGAGAACGCGCAAACCGCGAAGCAGGCGGCGAAACACTTTGGCGGGAACGGATCAGAAAGAGATACAAGACGCGCTGACGGCGGGGTGAGTTTGTTGTTTCCCAGCGATTAGTTAAAGACACGGATAAGCTTAACGCGTAGGACGACGGTACCTGATCGAAAGTTTATTTATCTATATATCCGATGGCCCACAAGTAACGCCACGGACGACAATTTTTTAAATTTTAAATATAACATTGTTATTAGCAAAACATTTTGAACGATTGGAAGTAAGGCCTTAAACCTCTTAAAATAACTACCTAAGCGTAATAGGTTTCATTGGTGTTTTGTGGAGTCAGCTGCACTAATCACCGTGAGTTATATTTAATAATTTGGTGCGTTACACAATTCCGTTTATTACCTCCTCAACATTATTGTATGGTCTATGATAAACGACTTCAACTAATACAGTATTCTCATATGGGCTTTACATTAAGAGTGCCCAAAATTGGTAGAAATAAAGTTTGGAAAAAATCATGTACCTGCTAAATCCATGAAACCAAGCAGCTTTTTGAAAAAAAAAATTTAGCTAACTTTTACCACTCCAGAAAAAAAATCCTTTTTTTGATCTAAGCATTGAATTTTCTTCTTCTGTTATTTTACTATGCAATAATTGCGAAACTAAAATACTAATTACTTTCGGACAGAAAAAAGCATATTACGCCCAAATCAAACAGCATAGAGGGTAGGAGAACAAATACAAAAATGCACAAGAGTAAAGTACTCTTATTTTTAAAAATTATTAAAATATTATTAAGAAAAGTTGTTTAGAATTAAAAGTTATGTTATACTGTCGCAAATTATTCAAAACCAAATCAATTTAGCAAATTTTTGTTCCAATTATAACTTATGTTTAAAACTAAGATTTTTTTATATGCATATTAAAAAATCGGCATTTAATGGCGAATTTAACAATATTAATATTCTGGACTAACCTCAACCAATTTAACATACATACATACATACATACATAATTTAACAAAATAGGAAAAATGGCAAATTTGAAAAAAATTATTAATTGAAAGATATTTAGATGAGAGAAAAAATAAAATCAAAAAAGATAGTCTCGTTTTTAAAACATCAGAATCTTCTTTACGGATGAGAGAAAAAATAAAATCAAAAAAGATAGTCTCGTTTTTAAAACATCAGAATCTTCTTTACGGAACTGAAACATGAAATTTGGTTGATTTTCTTTATTACACGCAGTTTGAAGACGTTCATTCCTATTGGATTTACACCCTAAAGACCCTGTCTTAACTGTGTTCGAAGGTTCATTTGATATAAAATTTCTTAACAATCAAGCAATTATTATTTGACAATAACACTCAACGTCATCGGACTGTCATAATGACTACTTCAAAGTCTCGTTTCTTTACATCTCGATATCCGCGATTATTTTGATAAGATATTATGTTTTTCAATTAATAGTAATTTACATCTACAGCGTTCTGTCAAAATTTTTAAATTAAACATTTGCTATGTAAATGATGATTTCTTAATATGCCTATTAAAATTAACAACGAACTGGGTACTAAAAAAGAATTTTTATAAAATTTTTATTAAATATGGATGTGGTTTATGTTTCACAAAAAAATAAAAAGTCTTAAGTAATTTTATTGATTACATAGAATTGGAACAAAAATTTGCTAAATTGATTTGATGACAATGATTATGAAGGAATACTAAAATTTTTTTTTTTGTAAACAAAACTTTTCATAAACTTTTTATAACGGGTAGTGGTATATCTGGCCGAAACGTTGTGTAAACAAAAAAATAAGGACAACGAAAATTCCAAAATCTCCTAGTATTTCTAGTATTTAATAGTATATTATACAACAAGTGCAGTAAACGGCATTTGAGTCACGAGTGATTTAAAAAGTCTACCGAATGTGTTACATATGATACTTTTTCTACTACCTTCTATAAAATTTTACACCGATCTAGCGTGCGGGAAGCGTCACTTAACCACGTGAGTTTCTTGTCGTACGGATCCGAGCCCTTCGGGCATTTCAGGAATATTTCTTCACAGGTTTAGGTGCAGTCGGATGTTTTCACCGCACGGTTTGAATTTTGACGTTTGTCAATAATTCTGACGGGCCTGTCAGTGAATGTATTCGTGTTGTTTTGCAAAAATGAACTCAAAAACTAACAGTCGTAGAAACAGTATAGTATGCAACACGTTTGGTAAACTTTTTAAGTCACTCGTTTACCGCACTTGTTACATAATATCCTATTTTCTACGACTTTTAGTTTTTACTGACATGACCGTCAGAATTGACAAACGTCAAAAAAAAAAAGATATCCGATTGATCCCAAATCCGTGCGGTAATGTCCGAGGTGGCTCGGATCCGTGGGACACGAAACTGGCGTGGTAAAATGACGTATGCTAGATCGATGTATAATTAGGTATTTTAGGGAAGGGAGTACAAAAAATTATTTAAAAAAAATATAAGAAAAGATTTTTTTATCTTAACAAACAACTTTTCTTAATAATTGGTTCCATTTTTTGAAAAAAAGGTACTGTACGCTTGTGCAATTTTGAGTCCACGGAATATATGGTTGTGTAGTTAGTTACAATACGATATGTTGCACATTGCAGATTACCGTATTATTCGAGGATGTTAAAAATGTTGACTCTCATATTTTCATTGTTTCAACACTTTTAAACAACGGGCAATCTTTCGATCACGTATCCGCCCTAAACGAAACCGAGACATTGTGTACAGTGTGAATAATCAACGCGTCGATTAACCCATTTTTGGCATGCTTCACGTCGCTGTAAATATTGAATCTTTTTACTCCACACGAAACCAAATATTCACACTGGCATCGACGCCTCCGACTATTTAACACCCCTGACGTTAAATTCTGTAGGACCGATCCATCTTCGCCGACCACCTCGAATCACCGAGAGACCGCCGGCAAAACGGCCACCGTGCCCAGAAGCAAGAGTAGCGACGTGCTGCGATCGTGCAAACGCGAATCTATCGAAGTGAAAAAGTCACATTTCAACACGCTAAAGCAATGGGGCAAAACCCAATACGACAAATTAATGAACAAAAGTTCGGAGAGGAGCGACGCAACGAACGCCGCGTCCAAAACCAACTCGGAGGACGGCGTGGACGATTTCAATTTGTACGAAACGATCGCATCGAGACGAAAGAGGAACTTGGAGAAGGAGCGCAAGACACACGAGAGGAACTCGTCGATATCTTCGTCAGAAAAATCGCTGCCCGCCAACGGCAACACGTTAACGGCGATGATGAACATCGCCGTGAAGTTGCGCGACAGCTCGCTGCAACGGCGACAGAGGAGGACCGGCACGAACAAGGAGGAAATCCACTCGTCTTCGGGTAACTGGAGCGCGAGCTCGGAGAGTGGCAGGACGTCGATCGGCTCGGAGATTACGTCGACCACGACGCAACCCAAGTCTACGACGTCGGCCGCTACGTCCAACAACTCGCTGAACGTGCCCCAAGGGCAGCCGGGTTCGGTCAACTCCCGCAGGAGGTTCAATTTCAACGCGTCCACGTCGGGAAGCGTGACGAGCGAGGGCACGCTGACGCCAGACATAATCCACGACCTCCACGAGGACGGCGACTCGGTGTACTCCTGCGACACCGAAGGCTATTACACCTCTTTCCACATGGACAGCGGTTTGAAAACGTTAAAGGAGGAGGAGCTGCCGTCCAGTCCCGTTCAGAGCACGTCGGCGATCTCGAATAATACCGCGGAGAACGAATACGAACTATTCGGCAAGGGAAGTACGTCGACGACGACGAGTTCCGCCGGTACCGTTTGCACCACGTTAAGGGCGTCGGAGAGTAACAAGAGTCTGGTGATCGGACCGGCGGTGCCCGAGCGAAAGAGCTCGCTATCGAAGCTATCGAAATCGTCGTCGGAGAAGGATTTCGGCACCATCAAGCGCAGTCCCAATACCACGACCGCCGCGAAAAAGTCTACGGACGGGGACGTGTCGCCGGACAGCGGCCACAACACGTCCAGTTCGCCGATCGAGAGCGTCAGCAGTCCGAACGGTTTGAGGAGCGGCTCGGATTTCGAATTTTCCGAATCGTCCGACATGGAGGGCGCCGAACGTATCGAACGCATCAGGATCAAGACGACCATCAACTCCAGCAGGATACCGTCGATGTGCGTGATAACGCCGTCGCACAGCGACGACGAATCGAGTAGCAACTCCTCCTACAAGAAGCAGACCATCATAAACAACTTGAAGAACAGCTTGGAGAAGGTGGATCCCGATAAATTCGACACGCGGATCATCAGTACCAACGTGAACGGCACCAACAGACTGGCGTTGGTCAGCGTTGACGTGAAATCCGGATACGCGACGGTAGAGAACATCGACCGGCCGGACGCGCAAACCGCCACGGTGAAGGCAACTATACGGGCGCCTTCGCCGAGCGGCGGCACCGTCACCGTCAAGGAGGAGTGCGCGAAGACCGTCACCCAACCGGTCATAAAGTCAAGCCTTATGCCGCTGAACAACATGTTCGGCAAACTGAGGACCAACTTGGCGAGCCTGGCGGGCAAAAGAGACAGGAGCAAGTCGCCCAAGGCTGTCGCCGTCGACGAGGGCGAGTACGTCACCATCGCGGACGTGCGCAATAACAACAAAGAGGTGACGTACTCGAATGACTCGATCAACAGGAACCTGAACACGGTGCTGAGCGGAAAAATGCGCGACGCCGAGTACGTGTCGCTCGACGAACTGCCCGTCAACGAGAACAACAACGTCACCTGTGGCGGAGGGGCGGATTCGTTGGAACGCAAGCAGCGGCAGGGCGCCAGAGTGACCTTGGACGCGGAAGGCAAGGTAGTCTACAGTTCGGACAGCTTGAGGAGGCGTAAGGGCTGCCACACGACGTTCGAGCCGGGCCCGTTTATCAAGTCCGGACAGAGTCCGGTTTCAAGTCCGTCGATGCCGCCCAGGGCCACCGCCAACGTTCGTCCGGTATCGAAGGTGGAGCAATCGGGCAAGGTGGTGATAAGGGCGTCCGGAGGAAATCAAACGGAGATCGTGCGTACTCCGACGGCCGTCGTCGGTCCGGGCAGTCCGAAAGGGCGGGCGTTGAGCCCGAAGGGAGCATACGTGCACGTCCAAGCGGCGGGAGCGGTCGCGGCGTCGCCGAAAGAAGCGAGAGGTAAGAGGTCGTTGGGCCGCGGGGTCGCGAAAGATCCCAACCAGGTCAATAACAGGGCGAGGGTGGTCAAGAGACGCGAGAGTTATCGGATCGCGAACAGCGCGATCGTCACCCCGCGAAAGATACAGACGTACGAGAAAAATATGGCGGACGAACGGGATAGTTTCGAGAAGGAGCTGGCGGACGAGCTCCTGAAGGAGAGCATCAATTATCCGCCGACGGTGTCTCCGGTTCTCGCTCCCAAAGCGTGCGTCAAGCGGTGCGGCCTGCTCTACAGCGCGGAGCAGGCGCAGAGGATGCTGCTGAGCTCCCCGAGACCGGTCGAGATACCGCGCGAGACGAACGAAAAGTGCCTAAGGGTGTTGAAAGCGTCCGCGGCCGATACGGAAATCTGGTAGAGTTTTTCCCCGCCCCATCGGTTTCTTACTTTCTTCATTTGTTCGACCGGAATACGAAAGCCCGTGGACACGTAGACAATAATTTTTGGAATTTCATGACTTTCAAAACAATCGACTCTATTCTACGAGGGTTACCTTTTATATGGCGGGATTTTTAATGAAAAACTATAAGCTACCAACAAATATGACTTTATTGTTCCTCAAAATATTGACCCTGATGATCAATACACCTTTGCACTCGATAAAACCAGTCATCAAAGCACTTTTCCCACATCGAGTCGGGAACCTCCAAAACATGCTTTTTTTCATCTTCTGGTGCCCACGTAATTTATTATTAATGTATGGAAGTAAAAAGAAGTAATCTAAATCAGGACTAGGTGGATGGCTCATCAAATCAACCTTTTTAATCAAAAAGTTCTTTGTTTGCACTGATCGGTGAGAGCTACCATTGTCGTCGTGGAGAATGATTCGTTTTCGGAGGTTAGTTTTTCTAATTTCTTCGAAGACTTTCGGCAAACAAATGGTTGTGTACCATTCAGAATTGACTGTTTTACGTTTCACCAAAGAAACAGTTGCAACACACTACCATTTGTTTCGAGGTGCTTCGCTCACGAACAACTTTTGTGAGCTTTGTCTCATTCTGAAAGACCCACACACTTCGACTGCTGCTTATTTTCAGGTTCATATGCTTAGACCCATGATTCATCGCCTGTCACGATATCATAGACGTGTTTGGAAGCACCGCAATCGCATTTTTTTTAGCATTTCCTTTGACCAATCAACAAGAGTCTTTTTTTGAGCTGTTATCAAATTGTGTGGAATCCAAAGAGAATAATTTTTTTTAACGGCCAAATGTTCATGCAAAATTGTATGTATGCTGATCCCACTAATGCCCAAAGATAGCTCAATCTCATTGTAAGTCGCATGACGATCCTGTTTCCGCACTGTATCAATGTTTTCTTGGACGACCTTCACGAAATTCATCCTTAAGAAAACTTCACCATCGATCCAGTCCAAAAACCAGCGATAATCAGGAGTAAGTTCATCGATGCATTGTTGTTGAGTTAGTCCACATCTAAAGTTGTAAATAATTATTACACGAAAATGTCCCCGATTAAGTTCCATTTTTAACCGTCACAATTTTTTTAATTTATCACAAAAAACACAAACAACACTCTTTCGCCAAAACCTAACTGAATAAACCTAACCTCAAAATGTCAAACTTCCCTATAAAAACGTTAGTCCCCAGATGGCCATGACTAAAGCGAAATCTTTTACATCACCTGGTTTTAATCTGCAAGCTATGGTCGGCGTATTAAGGGACACCGAGGTTGGTTGTGCCATTTAAAAAAAAAGTGATTTTATAATTTTTTAAAGCAAATTTCTAACGACGGTTTTGTGTTGTTTTTATTCTACAACATTTGTTCTATATAAAAATACAAACATTTGTAAATACAAATAAAAACTAACAGATGTTCTCCAAAAAAACAAAGCTAGTAACCTTCTAGGGATTCATTGTGGCACTGTCGGAGTTAGTTGTGACATAACTAAATACGTTAAAGACTGTCTATATATCATCATCTGAGTCACAGTTTCTTCTAACGCGCCCTTGTTGGGAGTTTCAGTCCAAATAGCCGCACGGCCACGTACGCGTCCTCTTTGGTGCTCGTCCTTTTGCCTGCCTTTGGTATATCTTCCAGTGAAAAATATGATTTGCCCATGCCTGGGGGTGCGGATAAATTTGTCGCATCTACTTGACTTTCTGGAGCAATCTGTAGATTTAAATCGGAGGTTAAGTTTATGTTTTTGAGCATTTTTTGAGCATCCTAGGGCATTCTAGGGATATTGGGGAATCATTTGTATCCAATAATGATCGGGGGCTCGTTATTGTTGGGCGGCTCTGTTTCGATAATTTCTGGATTTGGTCTATCGGTAAGAGCGGCAGGCAGAATTTCATCGTTGCCAAAACTAACTCGAAACCCAACTTGAATATTATTTGGTGTGGCGGTGAAACCTCTTTAGCAATGCAGGAAATATCATATATGTATTGTCATTTTCTTGCCTGGATGGTTTCTCATTAAGAAATTAATCGCACTGTTGATGTATTTTTTTTAGCGGATATACTGACCTGTCTGATGTCTAATGTCATGATTATCCAGGACAAGTAATACTGGCTATTCTTTTGATGCTCTGGAGTGCTTGGTAAAATATTGCAAAAAATATGAAATTCATTTTCAGATATCCAGCCAGACGGATTTGCGACTCCGCCATTGTTTACAAAGTGGTCTCTGTAGATCTTGCGAGGGAATTGAGTTACCGCTTGCACTGACCGCAAAACAAAATGTAACCAATCTACCTCTTCTCTCCACCGAAGTGACATCCCACTTGCCTAACCCCCTTCCTAGCAACTATCCGACCGTGGTAATTCCCATTTCATCAACATTGTAGAGGCATTGAGATTCAAACTTGTAACGGTCTAATACTTCCACTAATTGTGAAAAAAAAGCTTCCACGTTAGTTCTATAAAAACTAATTTCCCGGCTAAGACTTGCTGCCTCAGGAGTTCTCAGAGGCAGAGCGGTATACCCTTTAAGAAACATTTTATTTTCAACCCAGTTTGGACGAACTTCTACGTGATAACGGCAACCCAAAATATAACTTTGAATGTTGAATTAAATAATCAGCTAACTCGTTCTCCATAGGATCCGGTAGAAACTGACGATTTCCTTTGTTGCCTACTTCTGCTCGGTTGCTTAAAATATTTTAACAAGTTAAGCTAAATAATCATCAGAACAAAACAAGTATTTCAAAAGATTACCCTCTGTCTTTCGCTTACAAAACCGCTGTAAAGTCATGCGGTTGATTTGGAAATCTTCGGCTACCGAGCATAGGAATGGATGGTTCTCTAAAACTTCAACTGAAGCTCGATCAAACATCTATGGGGGTATTGAGTCTTTCGCTTTTCCGGTTATAAGCCCTCATTAGGTATATTTCAAAAATACCTAACAGGGGGGGTAAGATGTGCCAGTCAGAACCTGCCCCAAATTGATTATCACAACTAACCCCTGACGCTATCTTTTTCTATTTTTTTTTCATATTGCTCACAAAAAGCAAGGATAAAAAATCAAATATCACTATAAACTCTACATTCCGTAAGGTTTATTTTAATACATACTTTCCCAAAAGAACCTTTCTATCATTTTGTGGCCTGAAAGTTTCACATAGTCGTCCAGGCAGATCATACGTCATATGTCTTATTTTGTTGTTTAAATATAATGTAACTTTTTTTACCTCTTTCTGGAGGTAAAGGATTTATTGCTTCTGATTCCTCTTTTCTTAATATTTTTGATTGTTGTGTGACTCAGTTGCGTTGCATTTGCAGCTTTTACATTATCAATTTACGGAAGGATTCCATTTTTAGCTTGATCTTTTTGAAATTGGAATATTCAAGAAAGAAGAATAATGATTTTTTTTCATTTTCTTTTTGTCTCCGTCAGTTGACGTAGGAAGGTAGTGCGCCAATTATAGTGACAGATTGTTTAAAAATTGCGATTTTATTGGAAAACATATCACAATAGCCTATTTAAATCAACCAAACCTAGCAACGAAATCTAGTCCTAAATCTGTATATCGTTGGACCAAACCTAACCTTACGCCGATAGGTTAGAAACCTGTAACCGACTCAGTGTGGATAAGGTGATCTAGGTTCAGATGTGACTATTCAATGACACCTCTGGTGGAAAAAATGTTAAATTTTTTCATAGGACTTTCTTGTTTGCATGATTTTTAAATATATATTTCTTGGTAAGTTCACCGGTTTCTAATTCAAACACAACACCAACTGCTCTGTTGATGGTTATTGTTCAAGAAACATTAATGTTTGATGTAAAAATGTAACGTTTGATGTAAAAAATTTATTCTTTATTAGTCTTTAGAAGGGTCGCCGTAAGCAATAAACCAGATTTACAGCTTCAAGCAGAGCGATTTAAGTATACTTTCATCTTTATAATATTTACATGGCATTGAATTCCATAAGAAGTGCTTTCATTTTGCTAGTTTGAAGATACAATGCAACAATGCCTCTGCAGCAGACTCAATTAACGTGTTTAACATGTTTTAGATTTAACAATGCTTCTCCTACAACACAAATACAGAAACTGTTATGACAGATTATTAAGGAGGTCATCATAAAACTGAGTGGTTTCTAATGTCACCATTGTACATTTTCCATCCATAAGTTCAAAATTCTTTGGCTCTAGCAATATAACATATCGAAAATTGAAAAATTCAATAGAGCATTTAGCTCATTATATACTATAGAAACTTTTGGTTTTAATTTTGTCGTTTCGTTTGGTTGGCAAAAAGGACTATAAAAGTATAGAAAAACAATGGTGTGACATATTTTTGAAATTTACGCAAAGAGGTGCCGAAAAATGCTACCTCAAATTCCTGACTGGTCAAAAAAGTGTATGATTTCGCGAATAAGGAATGTCGAAACTTTAATTTGGTTTTAGTTCTTCATAAATAATTTTGGTAATAACTGTATTTAAGTATTGGATAAAAATATATTATTGTTTAAAAACGTTGGAGAACCAGGAGGAAACCAAATGTTTTTTTTCTAGCTAAACTAATTAAACCCAAATTGAAGTTTTAACACATCGCCGAATTCATCCACTTTTTGACTGCGCGAGTACGTCCCTGGACTGCGTGCGGCACGTGCCACTTTCGGACGGAAATCGATGATTCTTGGCCACCCCCGATCCAGATTTCGCGTCTACATTCTCGGGAGTATCTTCCACGCACACGAAAATCATTTTCTACTTTTTCAAAAATGCTTGGTTTTGGGAATTGCTCCTACCTGCCGACGCGTTTGGCTTTTTGGGAAATACACGATTCCGGTGTTTGCGATTCAAGCTTTGCTCACGGTGGAAGAGACTCACATAACCAAAACAATAACAAATCACGCACTTGAATGACTGTCGGTTGAAGGTACTTCCCTAATATTAACTGTTTTTTAATGTGTATACAACATATCGGTGGACGCAATTTTGTTCCTGTGCAATATAATTAGGTATTTATTTGGTCGGTTGATTTTTCTTGTTGCGATTTAGTCCTACCCATAGGTATATAAAATTTATGCTTGTGTCTTCCATATTATTACTTAGTTCGTAAGTGGTAGATTACATTTTTGTTTGTAAGCAAAGACTGATTTTTTTATCCGTCATATTATGTGTGTAAATTTAGTCTTTCCGTGTTTTATCATACGTATCCTTGTAAATTTGTGTCGCATGTAATCTTGTGTTTGTATTGTATTTTTCGTTAATTTTTTTTCTTTTCTTTCGAGCATTTTATATTCTATTTTGTTTTGGTTAGTTGCGGACATAAGCAGGCGACTGGGTTCGATTAGCTCGTTAAACTAACCAAATTTATTCCACGGGGGTTCGCTTTGAACGTTTGTGCCCGTTTCAAATTCAAATTCACTTTTTCAATCCGCACCTAAACAGTTTTGGCGCTCTTTATTATATGAGCAATTATTATAAATTAGTATGTAACCAAAAAATTTATTAAATCACATTGGTTAACACCAAAATTACATCAAAAATTATTTTAGTGATGAGTTGTTTTTGGTATTTAATAATTTGAAACAGTTTAAAAAATGTCAACAAACATTTGATTAATGCAACTTTAATATCCAGTGACGTAGTCAAATTATAAACAAGTCAATATAACACATGTTCTTGATTTTTGCACTGGTAAATAATAAAAGGGGTATTTTTATCAGCAAATATAGGTATCAGCACCATTTAATTATACATATCTAGAACAGTTCTCTAGCGTATATATGTTTAATATATAGAAACCATCAATGTACAAAATGTCTAGGAATTCTGCAATTCTGCAAACTGACCAATTTACCAACATTATGCATTGTGCATTGGATACAATGCCCAATTACGTGAGTTTGTTAATTGGCGTAATAGTGGGCGGAAAGAAAGAAACATTTTTGGAGAAGCTACATACATTATTTAGTAATGAGAGCTATAACAATGCATTTCTATCATTTGACTGACGAAAAAACATCATTAATATTCTGTAAGTACAAGTCGCAGACAAAAACAAATACTACAAGGTATTAAATATAAGTTATACCTTCAATTTTTATCATCATCAACTCAAAACTAGAAACTAGAAACTAACCAAAGCTTACCAAATACTTGCTTATTTCCGTACGAAACTATTATGAGTATTGGCAACAACGAATTCCACTCAAACATTTAACGCCTTATCAAATAATACGGTATTTACAATTTTAGGTTAGGTTTATGTTTACGTTTGTGTCAAGGCCGTTGTACATGTATTTGTCATGCGTATTTCTACGTAGGTTGGTATAGTGGTTCAATTTGTTAACAGGTCTGCTAACCGATCGACAATTTTGTTTAGATTTAATTTTATTTATCAACAGATCGTCTATTCAATGCGAAAAATAAACACTTTCAATCCTCAAATCCCCTAACGCATCACAAATTTTGCAGGTAGCCAAAAACGGCGCAGTAAATCTGCAGATTACCGAAAATACAAGTGATTTTGCATAATTCCAGGTAAATTGGTCAATTTGCAGAATAAGTAAAAATTTATTTAAAGAATTTGTTTTCAAAAGTAATGATAAAATCATTTCCCGAAGAGAAAAAAATCTGAATTGCTCCGAATAACCATTAATTTTCAGGAAATTCCTCTGTAATACCTTGCATGAAATTAATGTGCTAAAATACATTGGAATTTTCCTGAAGTTCATTACCCTTGTACACTAAATTGTGATCATTTTTTTTACAATAAAGAATACACTTTTTCTCTTTCAACGAATGAACAAATTAAAACTTATTTTTCCACATGTCAGCCCGTACAGACGGTTTTATAAAAGTAGAGTAAGATTGTGCGTATATTTGAAGAATCTCAAAATATCTTCGTTAAAACTACATTTCCATTGATGCCTAGAAAATCATTTTAGAGTTTCTTTTCAATAAACAATATTAGTTTGGGCATTGGGATTTGCTGATCAAAAGCAAAAATAAATTAATATGAAGTTAAATAGACAGTCGATAAGAAGAACTATTTCAGAAATCAAAGTGAAAACTTATGGACCTAGGGGGGTGATTTTTCTTTGTCCCGTCGTCTACTTCTTTCCGCAACGAAACAGCATGCCGCCACGCACATTCTGAACATGCCCCTTAAATTGTGTCTGTGTTGCTATACACCTGCGATGTACTTAAAATAATAATATGGTCGCACAATAAAACAGTATCAAAATCCGATCTATTTTTAACTTTAACACACTTTTCACTGGTGCTAACCAACTAAAACCGCGATTTTTTAACCACACTGTGTACATAACACCATTAATAATTCGGAATCCTTCCTTATCGCTAAATGACACATTTAACGTTAAATCTGTTTACAAATAACCGATTGAAAGAACCCGTTTTGTTTAAAACGTGTGTCACGGCGCGCCACCGACATCGAAATAATCAAAATTAAAAAAAAAGAACTTCCGAGTTTGTTATTGCGGGTTTAAACGTTTCGGGTACGCACCGAGACCTTCAGGGTAAAAGCTTTCGGTTTATGCACACCGCACCGCTGTAGGTTGCACGACACCACTTCTGCATGTAACTGAGTTCCGGTTTTTGTGTGAGACGAAATCAAGGTGAGCTATTTTTGCATTTTTGTTTTTTTTTTTTAATTTAAAGCATGAATCCTGTGTGTTCTAAATTTTGCATGGTGTTTTTGACAAAACAAAAATGTTAATAAAAGTGGAGCTTAAGATAAGAAATGAAAATGTCAATCGATGATACGTTCATGAATTAGTTACCAAATTGATTTGCTAATCCGGATGGAAATGTTGCGCTTGTAGAGCAAGAGTTTGAGTTATAATGTTGGATACCCATCATTGTATTTATTTCAACTGAGTTTGATAAAGATTAAACATATTGGTTCACACCTATGCTATTTTCAGCCTATAATAAATAATGATTAAACTCACGTAAATTGTTGGATGAATAAATAATTAGTTACTTAAAATTTATTTAAATATCAAGTTAGTGGTCATTTAAAAATTGATTAACCTTAGATCAAAACAATCTTTCTCTCTTTTTAGCGATGGATGGAAAAGTACTATTTATAGATTTGAAGGCATATATAAAATACAAAAAAGAGGTTTTTTATTTTACATTTAAGAAAAAAAAACACTATTATCTACTTTATCCTTAGTGGCTTTGGACAAAGTATAAAATATAATGTTTTTAGCTGCGATAATAATTTTATCCCATGGGTCAGGTAAAGTGGCCACTTTGTCGATAACTTTTAAACCATTTAATCAACTATCATTATTGAATGAAAAAACAAAAAAAGCAACGGAAATACTAAAATTAAAGAATTTGTTTTTTCTATTCTAGTCCTTTGATAATTTAATTTTAGTAGCTTCAAAGCGTTATAATTCTTAAAGTAGATTTATAAATTATAAAGGATACATTTTATTGAACCTAGTTAATTTTGGTTAGTTTTTAGGCAGCTATCTAATTAAACAAATTTTAGATCTGGACAATGATTTTTTTTGAAGTGGCCACTTTTTCGATAACTTTTAAACTATTTAACAAATCAGTTTCCTCAATCAACTATCATTATTGGATGAAAAAACAAAACTAGTGACGGAAATACTAAAATTAAAGAATTTGTTTTTTCTACCCTAATCGTTTGATAAGTTAGTTAATTTTGGTTAGTTTTTAGGCAGCTATCTAATTACACAAATCTTAGATCTGGACAATGATTTTTTGTTAAGTTGCCATTTTTGTGCACCTCTCGCCACTACTTCTGTTTTATATTGTACTATAATTAATAGATGCAAAACATAACTATTATTATTATTATTATTATTATTATTATTATTATTATTATTATTATTATTATAAGACTAGAAATGCCTGAAACAGCTTGCATATGATCAACTACCTACTCCAGAAAACAATTAAAAACATTTTTTAAAAAATCAATTCAGATTCACAAGTACGTAAATATCTGCTCTGCAATCGACCGTATATGATTAATTGTGTCATTTTTTCAAATTGTGGGTATTTACCATTTTCAAAACTTTTATTCTACTCAATATTATTAGTAAATGTTTTTTGGAAAATAAACTCTTTTTTGTTGGGACACCATTTGATGCATCTCAAGCGAAGTAAAACCATCAATAAATTTTAACATCAGCAAACGGCAGCAGTCAATTTGCTATCTATTGTCTTCGCGAACGCATTTAAAGAAACCGCTTATTCCTTCGTTTGCTGGTTGCAGAAGGCGCGTCGCACCAGGACCGACCCCATCATCATCCTCCAAACACGTCGCTTGGAACATACCTACCAAACCGCACTCCAGACATGTACAGATACGCTGAAGACCAATGCCAGTACCCCACGGCTCACCAGTACTACCAAGGTCGCGCCCTCTACTCGACATTGCCCGGGAAACGGTCTCAGTTCTTCGGTTACGAAATTCCCCCAGAGCGATCAGTCACTCCCGACATCACCCGAGGACTGGACAAGGATACGCGACCCCTCACGAGGCAAATGGTATTCCGAAGTGACCAAAATTTGATCAGTTTGGGCGAGAAAGTGGGAATACCCCATCCGCAGGAGTTTTACAGTCCCAAGCTCGGTTATCGTGACCTGGAATCGCAGGGGGAGGAGGACTCTTTCAAGATCTCGCCGATAGATCCAGTAAGAAGCACAGGCGGGTTGAAATCGTCCACCCCTTCGCAGCTTAAAGCGGCGACTAAATTGAATTTGGACCACAAAGTAATGTCGCCAAAGAAGAGTACCATGTCCAATGAGGAGCTCTACGCGGTCATCCACAAAACTAAGAAGAAGCTCAACATCGACGACCAACCGCATAGAGCGTCTCCGGTAACCGTAGGTGAAAGCACCGCCCCTAAAAAGCCAGCGGTAGAGACCGGCTATATAGGAAGCAGACTCAGTTGGTCGCCCAGCAGGGGTGAATACATAGACCTCAACCCCGATACGGACAAAATTTCGCCGCCCAACGAATCGGGAAGTCGTCAAAGCTGCAAAGATCGCAAAAGCCCCAAGAAAACGTCCACGTTGGATTTCAAAAGGTTGCTGCTATCGAAAACTAGTTCCTTGTCAGCCAACAAAAAAGTATCCGCGGTGGAGCAATTGAAACTATCCAAACAGAAAATGGAGCAGAAACCACAGCCCACTTCCCCTGGCAACGTTAAAGACATGACAATATTAGACCTGAGCTCTTCTCCGAGGAGCTTGCTCAACAGAAGACTGTTAAATAACCCTCCAGGTTCGCCCGACAAGGCGTCCATTAAACCGACCGCGAAAATCCTGTCTCCACGGTCGCATTGGCGATTCGCCAATCCGAGAAGCGACGTATTGTCTTCCACCATCATGGAGGACTGTCGGGAAGACGAAAGCAGCGGCAATTCGTCAACGTCCATGGAGAAAAAGAAGGGAAACGCGACCCGAATTAGTCAAGCCGAAGAAAGTACAAATAGTCCACTGTCCATTAGTCAAAGGCTGTCCGCGCAGCGGGCCGAGTTTTTCGGCAACACTGCGAGCGACGGAAATGTCAAGAAGGTGCCACCAACGTTGGAAACTGCGTTTTAACGCGCTGTTTTTTTATAGTATGCATGACACAGAATAGACAAACAACCAGAAGGATAACGCTCAGTTTCCCAGCGACACTTTGCTTAACCTAAAAATAAAAAAATAACCTACAGAAAACTCTTTGTCAAGACGGAAAATGATGCAAAATGCACTCGATCAAAATAAATGTCAATACATTGAAATTTGCCATAATTGAAAACAATTTTTTAATACGCCTCTGCGTTCTACCTGTATTAAATGGGATGACGATTTGTGAAACTTCAGGGAATTTCGGGAGAGTCAGCCTTCTGTTTATTCTGTGTTCACAGCATACGAAGTTTTACATATATATCTACGCCAAAATATATTTATTTATTTTTGTATGAAACTATTACGAATTTACGAATGTATTTTTCATATTAAGTTCTAGTCTTGCAAATATTTTGATACCGAGTTCAATTTAGTTTGGTTTTATATAGCATTTTACGACTTCACTTCTTTCTGTAAAGGTAGACCTGGATCGTGGTCAAACATTCACATTCCTGTTGTCTGTGGAACTTAGAAATGCGCAAGTTGGCCACGATGTACCCTGTCCACCTAAAGATTTTATGCATCATCACAATATCTGATACTTTATGTTCGAGTGGGCATATGTAACTTTTTTGTTCTTTTTAAAGATTATAAGTATTCTAAAATAAGTTATTTATATTTAAAAGTAATATATTTCGATTTTTTGTAAATAAACTGAAAATAAAAAGGTTAAAGTGGTTTGTCGTACAATGTGATTAAAAATTTACATTGATTACATTCCTACGAGGGCCGGATCAGAAAAATGTTTTGAAGATTATAATTCCTCAATAACCAAGGCGTTTCTAGTACTTTAAAAAAAGTTTTTGTCCTCACAATAACCACACCTTTATTAATAATTATTATTAATTATAAGGCAATGAGTTGCTTGCAATTACAGATAAAGTCTAATATTATTGTATTGGACAATAAACCCCCCATAATTGTAGAATATATACAAATTTGTTACACAAATGCTTTGTCTGAATGCAACCAGAACAACAGTCTTAGAATACCTGAAGAACAATTTAATTTGCACTGTTGAAACACAGAGTCAACTATCTGAAATAAGTTTTATTATAAAAGGACATTATATTAAATTACACACAAAAATAATTTGCCTAGTGTTGAGACCGTACAGCTGGAGTAATAGGCCCCATCGGACCCATGGGCATCATTCCCATCATAGGAGGTCGCATGCCCATCATTGGAGGCATTGGTCCATGTGGACCCATCATCATGGGCGGCATTTGCCCACCAGGTCCCATGGCTAAGGAAAAGAAGCAAATTAAAACACAACTTAAAATATGTTAGTTTTTAATAAAAATATACATTGGGTTCGAATTAAAATACTTACGCCCAGGAGGCATCATGCCAGGTGCAGGAGGTGCGCCGGGCCTTTGACCCATTAACTGTGCAGGCGGCGGTATTGCAACTCCTTTGCCAGGCTGGGCAAACGGATTATTAGCAATTTTACCTGCTTTAAAAGCAGCAGTTGTGGCATCAATTAAATGTTGGGCCTGTTCTTCCATCCATTTTTGGTAGTAAAATTTTACATTATCCTTGTGCTTTCTGCCCGTACAATGAGTTTTTCTAACACTAGGCGAGTCGTGGGTTAAGTAAGTGTCACAGTAATCGCAATAGTATTTAGGCATATTTTGAGGTTATAATTTAATCTACAGGTTTGTTGCTATTTTCTTCAACATCGATGGCTTTAACTTCCTAATGACCTTATGGAATCTTCGCGTATTTGAAGGCTGCAAAATAAGTACAACAAATGTTGACAAAAACGTAAGCACTACGTTCGACAAATATTCAACACTGACCACAGAATACTACTGGTGATGTGACGGGCCCACAGAGCAAGCTTCTTCTTCCTAAGAGAGAATGCTTTTCGTGCATTTAGCCAGTTTCGAATCATCCCACAGCATTGACCACAGGCGAATTAAACATGGAGCTCAGCTACCTAGCTTTGTTTGCCGCTCACTTATAATAAACTGATTTTAGATCTGATTAAACCGGATTTTCCTTGGAAAGGATTAATGGTTAATCTCGCACAGAATATCCTAGTATAAAACACAGGATTAGGTCGCAACGAGTTGAGAAGAAACAAATCTTTGGATATATGTATATACCTCCTATATTTTAATTCTAAAATATAGTTAAAATATTGTACGGTAACTTTGAATCAAGTGCGTCATTTCAAATATAATGTTTTTGTGGATCTTAATATTCGGATGTCCATGGTATCTATTAGTTACCAATACGAGGACAGCCTTAAGATACTGATCATCAACTTTAGTTTATTTCTTAAACTGATTTTCAATGAGAATATTAAACATGGACATGAAATTTTCTTCTACTTCTTTACTTCTCGGGGCCAAAATTATAACCGCGAATTGCTACAATTTTTTCGCTTGTGAATTAGCCTGACGTTCCCGTTTCTATGGCAAACCACAGAAGAAAAAATTTAATAGTCCAATAACAAAGGAAAATGATAGCTAACGATGAAAACTTTGAACAGGTCAGAAATACCTATACGAAAACCTAAAACATTTTAAAATTATTGACAATTTTAGTTCGAAGAAGACGATGCAGCCGAAACTACAGTTGCCCTTTGCACCTCTGGCCGTAAAAGGCTTTTCAGCAAAGAGCTAAGGTGTATGATGTATGGTTTCGGAGACGATCAGAATCCATACACGGAAAGTGTTGATATAATCGAAGATTTAGTCATCGAATTTATTACAGAAATGACTCACAAGTAAGAACTGTTCATTTGTAAAACCTAATATGATGAATCAAAACAGGCACAAATTATAGGGCCATGGAAATAGGCAGAACTGGTAGAGTCCAAGTGGAGGACATTGTTTTCTTAGTTCGCAAAGACGCACGAAAATACGCCAGAGTGAAGGATTTATTGACAATGAATGAGGAGTTGAAGAGGGCTAGAAAAGCATTTGATGAAATTAAGTTTGCAGGTAACGTGAAATGAGTGTAAATGTAGACAGATTAGTTTTGTGCACCAAAGTATTCACTGCAACATTGTTTTTATTTATTATAGTGTAGTAATATTTTAGTTATGTTGGTTTACTTTGGCGATTCTTATTTAGCTGCTAGTCCACAGGGATAAAATACTTTGTGGTTTAGTTTTGGGTTTTTGTAGTATTGTAGAGTGGATGTAATTACTTATTTATTTAAAATAAAAACTGTTTTTGCATGCTTATTAGTTTTTTTTTTCTGTTAAACCTTAGTAGTTTCTGCATAAAGCAATTTTATACCCGATTATTTTTTTCAGGCAAAGATGCAGTAATAAGCTAGCAAAAACATTTTTAACTGGATATTTTAACAGTTTAAGGATAATTTCTATTATATGTGTGTATTTTCTATAAGAATTCTAGAAATAAAATGTGTAAAAATAACAATATGATATTTTATTATCTCTTATGATTATATCACAATGAAATCACCCGTTTTTGTCTTGATAAAGCAAAGTTTGTACTTTTTCAACTGCATTCTTCCCAGATAAAATTACATCATTAACACCTACACCATAATAAGAAGCACCGCACAATGATAAAGGCAAATTATACTTCCTAATATAATCCTGAATGTTTTGTATATTCTCGGTGTGTCCCACTACATATTGCGGAATGCAGTTTTTCAAAATGTTTACTTTGGAATATGCAGGGCTATCAGATATACCTAATGTCGTTTTGATTTGGTCCACTGCAGTTGTTAAAACGGTATCGGAGTTAGGATTGCTACCAAAGTATTTATCGAACCAATAACCACCCATCATAACAGTTAACACAGTATCTCCTCCACAATGGAAACAACATGAATCGAAAATAACACCCAAAATGGGAAGATTTTCCGTTGGAGGCACCAAAAAACCAAAAGCACTATTTTTTAAAACATTCCCCTGATAATGTAAATTCACAACAGCAACTGAAACACTCTTAATATTCTCTAACATTCTTCTTAAACTTTCATGTTCTTTATGAAATAAACTGGCCAAACTCTGAGCTGGAATTGCACTTATAATATGGCTAAAGGTTTTACTAGAACCACTGTTGTAATGTACCACAACTTCTGTCTGATCTTTGCCAAATTCAATAAGTTCACATTTGGTATTTAGATCAATTTCAACATCACCTTCTATAGACTTTTGTAACCCTCGTGTTAAGGTTTCCATTCCATTTTTGAACGAATATACATTCCACTTATTTTGTTTTGCTTTCTGAGCCAACCGACCCATTTTGAAATTTGCTTTGCCTCTAAACATATTTTTATAAAGACCGCGTGTTATGCTACCAAATTGTTGCTCATACTCAAACAACTGTTTCAATAAGAAATTTACACTTATTTCTTTAGCATTTCCAGCGCATATTCCACAAATCATGGAACTTATCAAATAATCTGCTACCTCTGTGCCAAACCTTCTTTGAGTAAAGTCATATATTGATTCGTCCTTTACCTTTTTCGGTTTTGTAACTATGTCTTTGACGAAATGCAATAGCAACGGTTTCGTGAATGGTTTTTGTACCCTAAGCAGACTTCTAACAGAATTGGGTAACATGCAAAGCTCACCATCGCAATAAAGCATCCGGTTTTTTGCTGCTGGGCTGTCAGAAAATATCGGCACAATTTCGTCTTCCAAGTCTAGCTCTTCGATCAAATCTAAAGTATTCGCTCCCGCTTCTCCCCTCGGCCGTATGGTTCTTGCAGCCTGTTCAAAAATGATGTTATTTTCCTTAGTTGTTTTGATCCACCCGCCTAACCTTTGAGACGATTCTATTAGCCTAGTGGTTTGGCTGGGAAGGGTTTTGGCAAGGTAATAAGCAGCGGATAAGCCGGAGAGTCCACCGCCGATAACAAGGTTAGACATTATGGATATAATCACGACATTACTTCGACTTAGGTTATATTTAGAACCTCTTATGATCTGGCATAGTAGCTAACTGGCAACCAACGATACACCCAAATATATTTCATTTCCAAGTTTTTTCTTCCCCGCAGGAGGTAACTAGAATTCATTCAACCAATGTTGCATAAGAGCACTTTCGCTGTCGGTTTTAAGCTTAACACTTATGAAATCATTTTAATGTCTGCCAAGAGACAATTAAAAAAACACAAAAGAAAATAAAAAAATCTAATCAAAGACGTTGTGTTTTCCAAAGAAAATTAGTCATAGAATAAGCCCCAGAATTATTTCACCAAATTTGACATGTTAAGTTGTAACATAGTCGATAAGTATACTGTACCTCAAAGGTTTCGCCACATGCAATCATATACAGCACCTTTAGTTCGAATAATTCTCTAATGAAGCATCTCCCGAAAAAATAAAATAAAATAATATGTTGTGGATAAGGTCTGCCGATTAGAGCGATACGCAGTATGTCTTATATAGACGAGAAAAACAAAAAACATAATACGCGGGAAAATAATGTTGGGAAAAAATTATGACAGAAGACGACTGGCTTAACCATAGAAAGATAATAATAGAATGCAAAATATGAATAATATTTCCATATAAGGTTGAGCTAACTAAAATGTCTGGTTTTCAATGATTTCGTCAAATTGAGTTTAGAAAATTTTAAATTAAATAGTAAAAAATAATAGGGGCGTATGTAAAAAACTTGCTAACTTTTGGAGGCTATAACAATTTGCTTAAAATGTTCAAATTCACAATTTCCATGATATAGCTTCCCACACAGCACATAATGTCTTAATTGGGTCTTGATTATGTCTGACGGCGAATTGACATAAAAGACAACTTAAAGACCTTTCATTTGGTTAGTTGTGATTAGTTAGTTCAAAGGGTCCATTGCCCAAGATGCCCATTTATGTTTTTTGTTTTTGGAGGTTTTGTAGCATTTGATCTTTTTACGATATCCATAAGCTCACTTGGAGCAGACCCCCATAACACATCATGTCGTTGTGATATCTGGGTCTGTTTAACTTAGTTGTTTTTTGTTCTGTTGGTTTTATTCCATACTATTCAAAACGCACTCTTTCCGGTAGATAAAACTTTTTCTTCATGTTGATAATAATGATAATAATAATCATTATTTAATAACGATACAGTTAAGTGCGTTGCAAATCACAGATGAATAAGTATAACATGAACGTTCATATAAAAACAAACGATCGATCAGAGTTTTCTTAACAATATTTTAAAATTTGATGTAGGTTGAGCTTTGTGTTTCTGGCTTCCTTTTGTTATCAAGTGAAGTATTTAGTGAATTTCAACCTGTACCTGTGAGAAACAATTAAGTCAGATCATCTAGTACTGTATGAATGACACTGAGAATGAATCGGGAATTTCTTCATGTTGTCGTGTATTTCAAAAGACTTTAAGTACATTAGAATAATCTATAAATGAATGGAAAACGAAATGGAAAATAAAAATTCATGATTTAATACTTATTTAAGATTTGAATATATTAACAGAGCAACGTAGTCCCCTATCCAAATTAGTTCCGAGAAGTTTACAGTATTAGTAGCGGATTTATTTTCACGATTTAGTCTTGGCTTGCTTATATTATTTAAACAATTGTTCTGATTTTTACTGCGCAGTATTAGGGTTGTATCATCCTCGTTATAAGATAGTCTTGGTTCATATCATTTATTTATATAATGAAAAGAAGGGGTCTTCAAACTGAGCCTTGGGGTCCGCGGATTGACATATTGACATATCGCGTAGATATCATTTGTTTCCTATTACGCAGATAGGAACTAACAATGAATGATCCATACCACGAATTCGAGTAAAATGAGGTACGTAGTCGCAGGCCTTAGAAAGGTCACAAAAACCAGTTTTGATGCAATATCCCCTCGACCACACCCTCCTGTCTTCATAATCGATTTTCTAAAATCACATTGACATTCGCTCAGCAAACTGTACTTTTCCAAATGGAAAGCGGAAATAATTGAAATTTATCGGGCACTACTACGAACTACAGGGGTTATGAAAATTGTGTGTGGTGTTTGTGGCAATGATGTTATCAACTACCTAACAAAAGAAATTAATAAAATAATCTGCTTCCAAATCTGAATTAACTTGTTTTACTTTGGCATTCGTTTCAGATCGGATCAGTTTCCACACATTCCCAGAATTAATTTTTGAGGAGTGAAACTATTCGTAAGCCTCTTTCTTTGTTTTTTGCACTGTTTGCCCGTATTTATTTTTAAGTTTCATAATTACTTACATCTAAGGGATATTTTGAACTGTCACTAAAAGTTTTCGGAGCTTCCATCACATTTCTCATTTTTAGATTTTTAGGTTATGATTAGACCACCTGACTGACACTGCTTGTTTTATAGCACTATTATATTCGAAAGATTTGTTGACGACTTGTCAATTTGTTAATATCAATTTATTAATACCAGCATAGTCCGACAAAAAAATGTTCTATAAGTAGTGGTCGATATAATGATCAGATAGATGCGGATCTATCATAGAGGCAGTATATTGCAAAGTCAGTAATAGTCAATTTCAGGTCATAGCAGGGAAACAGATCCAATAATCTAAGTAGACACAACGAATTTTATACAGAGTATATAAAAAAGTTGCGACCTTTTAATTGTCTGGCGCATCGCGTTCTTACCTTGTTCTATTTTTACTTCCCCCGCTGTAACTGGCGCGAACTAAATCGTCCGTCATGCCTCTCAGCCGCCGCAGCTTCCACGGGGTAAATCAGGACCCTGCGAACCACCGCAGATGCGGACCGGATGGCGTGCCTTTCGTGTTTTCCTGCTGTCACGGATGCACGCGGTCATCAGGAAATCACCTCTCCGCGACCGTTTGCCGCTCTTTCCGAAAACCAAATTTCTTAATTATTTTTGGCGAAATACAAAGGGGTGTGTTACAAAGGGAAGTGTGAAGCACGACTCATTTTATTGATTACATTTCTACTTTTAAATTTTTCTGAAATTAAACGAAAACCATATTGGTGAAAATAAGATCAAAGAAAAAAAGCAATTATACCTGATATGGCTAGACAGTAAGGACCCAGAAATTAAAGAAACGTACAAACAGGCAGACAACGAGGTAAAGAAGGAAGTAACGGCTCGAAAAAGTAACATCTGGATAAGAACCTGTGACAAAATCGACAAAACCATCGGAGGACAAAGATGTACAGAAGCATGGAATTCATTAAGGAGAATACGTCAAAGTGATAAAATAAACACAGTGACCACAGCGATACCTGAAAAGGAACGGATAACTTATTTTAAGAACCTACTGCAAGAAAACAGAGCATTCGAGGAGCAACCGCTCAATACAACGTCAGAAGAAATCCAATTACACATAGAGGAGGTTAGAAAAGCTCTAAGAGAGACAAAAAATAGAAAAGCGGCTGGCGTGGGAGGTATTCAATCAGAGCTTCTCAACATGGTTCAGGAAAACTTTTAGGAATGATAACAAATCTTTTCCGAAGGTGCATAAATGGGGAAAACGACCCAAAGGATTGGCGGACTTGTCATATCATACCGATTTATAAAAAAGGATCAAAGAGAGAGAGAGCCGAAAAACTACAGAGGCAAAATTGAACAGCAAATAGCTACAAGGGAAATGGAAGAGCAGTCAGGTTTCTGCGCCGGAAGATCGGTGATAGACAATATCTTTACTCTTAAAATCCTTGTAGAAAAGAGGAAACAGAGAAACCTAGAGACACACTTAGCCTTCATTGACTTGGAAAAGGCATATGACACTGTCTCTATACCCAAGCTGTGGAAAACAATGTTAGCCATAGGAGTGAAGCCAAAATTAATCGAAGCGACCAAGAACCTGTACCAGCACTGCAAGAGTTAAAATAGCAAATATGCATCTAACAGAACCTTTCACCACTGATAAAGGACTACGACAAGGCTGTTGCTTATCGCCAACATTGTTTAAGATATATATAAATGAAAAACTTAAAACGTGGATAAGACAATGTACAAGTATGGGAATAGCCGTAGATGAAAACCTCCTTATGACCCTCTTCTATGCTGATGATCAAATAGTGATAGCCGAAGATGCAGATGACCTGAGCTATATGGTACGGAAACTGAACGAGTATTATGTACATGCCGGTTTGATAATAAACATGACGAAGTCAGAATACATGATTGTAGGTAATGACGAAGTAAGAGATCTACCACTCGAAAACGAAAAAATGATAGGAGTTGAAAGATATAAATATCTGGATGTAATATTTAATAGGGACGGGGATAGCAGGGAAGAAATTCGGAAAAGAGTAGCAAAAGAAAGAAAGATAATCCGATCACTTAACTTAGTACTATGAGAGAAGAACATACGGAAGACAACAAAAAAACGAATGTACTCTTCCTTTGTGGAAATCCTGACATTATACGGAGCGGAGATCTGGGATCTGAATAGAGACAATAAAAATAAATTATTATCTACAGAAATAGATTTTTGGCGGAGAAGCTTGGGCGTATCACGATTAGAAAGAAAAAGAAACATCGATGTAAGAAGAGAAATGGAAATAGAAAAATATGGTATGGTTTGGACATGTAAACAGAATGACAGATAATAGATGGCCAAACCGAATTTTAAACTGGACTCCCCCGTAGAGATGAAAACGTGGTTGACCAAAGCGCAGTTGGAGAGACGAGGTGGAAGAAGCAATGGCAGCAAGAAATATTAATCCAGAAACCTTTTGCGATAGAAAATTGTGGAAACTGAGCACGGAGAAATGAAGAAAATCGCATTAATCCGATTGCAGGGACTTTGGAAATACGCGCATACAAAAGTACATATTATTTAAAAACTTTTTTGTTATTTACTCAAACTTATTTACTTTACCCGTTTCTAAGTTATACCGATTTAAAGTAAACATTTCTTGATTAATAAAAAATGTGATTAACGCTTATTTTTACAAGTATGCCATGAATGTTAGTTACTATGGCAACCATTGTTATCGC